GTCAGATTAAAAACGACGGATAATAAATTTTATTTTACCAAATGGTTAAACTTGGCCAAAATGAATTGAGAAATGTTATGAGGTAATTTTGAGCCCATAAAATTTATCAAGAAAAGACGCATACGCATACCTACCTAATTTCGAGTGTAAAAAGGGTACTAGCCAGTGAAACCTAGCTTATGGCAGTCCAAGTTATCGCTACCAACGCCGTTGCGGACAAACGAGAAAAACAACATCAAGGCAGGATCGTTTGATTGCTCGTAATGAAACACTTATTGCCATCAAACACTGCCAGAGCTTTCAAGCAGCAAGTGGCATAAGGATATCAACGCAAACCATAAGGCGTAGACTTCACGAGCGTGGACTTACGACAGAATACGGTTGATAGCAGAATGGAGTAGGTGCATGTTCGCAGATGAATGTAGGTTTAATTTATGTGGAAGTGGTGGACGAGTTTTAGTATGGAGAGGGAGAAATGAACGATATCTGGAAGGAAACATGGATGCAAGGGAACTGTTTGTAGGTGCCGGTGTGGTTGTTAAGGGTGGTGTTATGATGAATGGGAGAACGGATTTGGTTGTTTAATTGAGGGAATCGATGAATGCGGAATGGTATCGAGACTGTATCAGTGATATTATTATTCCTTTCCACAAAACATTGGAGACGATTTTTCCTGGTGGACGACAATCTCGTATTTGTGAAATGTTTTAATAAAAATTTCTATAGTTGATTTTTTTTTGTGCGCATTTATAGTAGTGTCTTTTTTACGTCCAATGATTTACCCAGTATTTAAAAGAGGGTTTTTTGGCTGTGTGCACATCAACAATGTAGAGGAGGGAAAAACAAGTGTGTATTCTGTGCATGAAAATTTATTAATAGCAGAGCGCTTTCGGCCTTAGGCCATCTTCAGTAAAATTACTGAAGAACAAAGAACAAACACGTTTCTAAAATAAAATCAAATTCATTTATGTAATCAACAGCCAAAGTTCAACCCCTAGGGCCCTTTACACCTAATTAAATGTTGTAATTGTGATTATACAAATTTTAAATGTAAGATCGTCCAACTATGTGTTGCATTTTATACAATTTTGACTCCAATGTATTCCTGACAAAGAAAGCACTGATGATGGCCTAAGGCCGAAAGCGCTCTGCTATTAATAAATTTTCATGCACAGAATACACACTTGTTTTTCCCTCCTCTAGAGTATTTAAAATTTCCGTGTTGGATACCTACCTATTTGTCTATTGTTGGCCTGGTATGATGTTAAAACTGAAACCTTGCGTAAATTTCTTAGGTCATAGAAAATCTACATGAAATAGACTTTCCGAATTTGAAGCGCTCGTGAAAATCCGTCATTTCGTTTTCGAATTATAGCATTTTAAAGATTGCATAACCAAAATTTGATGTTTAGTAGTGTATCTAAGGCCAAAGGGCCTGAATCCAAAAAGTGACAAAAACGTCTAGAGATATTGATGTTACCTTAGTAACAAACCATATTGTGGCAACTAAAAAAATTTTTTGCCAAAGTGTCACACACATGAAATTTTTGCTTTTTTGCATGACATTGTTTATCACCCCGTATATCATGATAAAAACTATCCAATCAAAAATGTGTGACATGTAGCCTAATCTAGGAGAAACGCGCTTTTCAAAGCCGCAAACTGCGTTCAAAAATATTTATTTTTAAAAAAGTTGAAGCTGTTTAAAAATAGGACACAAAATTGAATGGACCGAACTTAATGTTGACCAGTTTATATAAGCTACTTTTTTGAAACTTAAATTTAATAAAAACAAAAAAACGTGCACAATCGCCACCATCAATGTACATATCTTACCTAATTTAATTTCATAACATCATCATACGAAAATAACGTTTTAACTTTCTCTAGGAAGTAGTATTCATATTTTTGTCAAAAACCACTGGACATTAATTTATTAGGTTCACTTTGATCACAGTGATTTGCGAATGCGAGATTTATTTATTATATTCACTCAAGAACCATACCTACACATAAATATTACCAAAATCGGTGTGGGTAATCATTGAAAATATAAAAGTTGTTGATTTTTGGAAAATTTACAAATACAGAAGTTGCTAATTTTTTGGTGGAAACGTGCCTTTATATAAAGAAGAAGACTGTTTATTTTTGAAAACAATGTCGAATGGATGCCATTATATTATAGTTATAGTTATTTCATTTTTGAACTAGAAAAGTCCGCTGTGCATAAAACGTAATAAGTATTTTGGGCGTTGAGTGTCGTTAACCACACTCTCGGGCGGTAAATGACACTTTCCGCCATTAATAACTAAATAACTATTAACTATCTACCGAAAGTAGCTTAAGTAGCTTGTTTTAGTAGCTAGCTACTTTTCACAGTAGCTTATGAATACATGGAACACATTACCAAAAGCTACAGCTACAAGCTACTTTTTTTTTTCAAAGTAGCTTGAATAAGTTACTAGGTACCAAAAAAGTAGCTAAGTTAGTAGCTTAACTAATTCGTAGCTAGCTACTGCCCAGCTCTGCCACGAGCATACTAAATTTTTGACTCGGGGATTTATCTTTAACAAAAAAACAGACTTTATTGAGTGCCGAATTTAGTTATTCCTTGACTCCTCCTTGGAGGTCGTGAGTTTAGAATGGACACTTGCTACTATTTGACAAGTTAGTTATGTCAATCTTAAACATTCAAGGTTTCCTTAAGATCTGAGGTGGAAACCTCAAGAACAAGGAGCGACTATAAATTTGGCCCTCAAGGGACTATGCTTAGGGTAGGTTTTCATGCATCCGTCGTACGATGATACGACGAAGCTCTTATTAGTTGAACAGTTTCCCGCCATTTTTTATCCGAATATTTTTAACTTTTCTTCGATGTCGGATAAAGTTACAATAATTTTAACTTTCATAAAATATCGTATGATTTGACATTTTCGACGTATAATTCTAACCTAACTTTTTCATGTTTTGTTGGATATCTATAAAAAAAAGCCAACAACAAGGTGTATTTATTGAATGTAATGAGGCTTACCGGCTCACGGACAAAGAAAAATATTTCAATAACCTGATTGACCTGAGCAGTCAAATATTTTTGACTATTTATGACCGATTCTTATCATTGGATGTCGGATGCATGAAAATGCCAAACCAAATCCAACCAATCGGAACAATTTCGTATTGTCGTATCATCGGATGACGGATGCATGAAAACCTACCCTAAAGCTATGGTCCGTATATAATCAGGGTTGTGAAAATTAGCTCTGGGTTTGGCTATTCACCGCGGAGTTGGAGTGGAGTGAACAGAGCTAATGGAGTCACCTCTAATACGATAAAAAGCAATACCCGAACCTTAACCCGAACGACTGGAGTGCGAATGGAGTCACTCGGAGTGCACAGAATGAGCAAGCCGAACCCACCTTCTGGTTCCTGGAAAAGTGGTTACTTTTGAACCGCAGTTTCCTGAAATCTGGTTAACCAAATGTCTGTTGGTTTTATCTGTGATTTGTGTCAATTATTTTTTATTTCATATTTACGTTGCGTTCCCCAAGTAAATGGACTTTTTATTAACCGCATCGGTCAACCGATTCCGTTTCTTTAGCACTGTTCCAACAGACATGAGAACGGTAATTTTCATCAGTCGATCAGTTTATTTGTCAAGTAGGATAAAAGTTCAACTTATTGAAAAATCGGTGGGCAACTGGAAATTATTGGTTCTGAGAAACGGTTCTCATGTCTGTTGAAACAGAGAGCTAATGGTTAACGTTCGTTTGGTTATATTCGGACCATAGCCTTATATTATGTTTCTGGGCGTGGCACTCGGAAGGAGTTTTTCACCACCAGCAGCGCCTGCGGCGGGCTGTTCACCCCGAATTTATAATGATATTTTTGATTCCTTATAACTACTTCTTACCTTTGTTTATTCTTCCTTTACACTTCATTTCCTGCTGTGTTTCTTCAATTAGCCAATTAATTTACGTGTGTGCCTGCCACAATCATTACATTCAGCCCTGGAAATTAATCATTAGAATTGACCGTTTATGAATATAATACTGGCTAAACATTTCAGATACTCCAGGTAAGCAAGGCCATGACTTCATTTAGGTTGGGATAATTTTTTTTCACTTACGATTGTTTATTTAAGTTTTGATTTTGATAATTGAATTTCATCCGCATTATTTTTTTTTTATGTTCCTTTTTTTTTAGTAAATTTCCTTTTTAAATATTATTCACTTTTCGCTTACGAATTATTGAACTTCGGTAGTTTATGAGTTTTTCAGGTAATCGAAGGATTGGAGAAGGTTCGCTACTTCCTGGCGCTTATTATATAACATTGTGTTCAGTTTAACAGTACCTTGTATTCTTTAGGAATTAACCCCCCCCCCCACAGCTCTCTAACTCTGGACACCGGTCATATATTAGCAAACCTACGCTTAGCAACTTCTACCTTACCGAGTTTAATTGTTCGATTCTTATTTTGCTTTTAATAAAAGGATTACGTATTACGTAATCATCATTTTTGGGCGTGGCAATTTGGCGCCCAACGTGGGGCCATTTTATTATTGCATTGCTTAAAACTATTATTAAATTTTGATGCTCATTTAAGTATCTTTTGTTCCGAGTCAATTTAGATTTGAAGTCTCACGCTTGCGCAGTAACTGTTTCGCTTGTTTTTGAATATTTTGAAATTAAATTTAAACAGTTCGCTTTCTCTATTCAACAAAGAATAGAATTTACTGTCAATTTTTAAGATTTTTTTTTTTTTTCCCTCTCCTCCTCAATTTTTTTTTTGCTTAGTTATTTAGGTGTACCTACTCATACACGCCACTGGGCATAGTGAATAGTTGTGTGCGCCTTTCTTATGCGAAATAAAGTTCTTTACGTTTTTATACCTTCAATCTTTTTTCCTAACTTAAGGCTTATTTCGTATTGTTGGATTTGCACTGTGTTTTATCTAGATAGTGGATACAAGTACTATCTGGTGGGTTATTTACAAATTAGAAATGGATTATAAAGTGAGAGCCGATAATTTGAGAAAGCCTGAATTGCTATGGGAATTGAAGCTAAGGGGCATTCCAGTGGATGACACTTCGACGGCGGAGAAAATGAAAGCAGCGCTAAGGCCTTTGATAAGATTGGAGAGAAGGAACAAATCATTGAGCTACCCAGATTATACTTCCGTTTTTGACGACGAAACTAGGTATATACAAGATTGTGTAACAGAGATTACAATTCTCATGAATTCTTTCACTGGTTCCAAGGCTGAAATAAAATTTGAATGTTTACAATCATGATTGGTGCATTTTCTTCGTAGAGCAGATCTTCTGCCCAACGATCAACTGACCAGTGAACAAGTTAAACTAAAAGCAAATCTGCTCATGGAAATTCTTAATGCCTTAGATACATTGGAGAAGCGTACTAAACAGAATCCCAATTTGAGCTCTATGTTGAACCAAACTCGTTTGAGTGACTCGTCTGAGTCGGATGATGACAATGCTTCTGTTGTATCTCGACCGGCTAGACACGCAACCGCCGCAAATACTTCATCGCCTAATAGTTCTAATACTTCTCCCGCCATAGCGTCGACATCTAACACAAATACACAGGCACCGACATATGCTAAACCTCAACAGGTAGAAAAGTGGGGAATCAAATTCACGGGAAACACAAAAGTAATATCCGTGCACAGTTTTCTAGAACGAGTTAACGAGCTCAGAAGAGCAAGGAATGTTTCGGAAAAGCAACTTTTTGAATCGGCAATAGATTTGTTTGACTCCAAAGCCAAAGAATGGTACAGATCCAACTGTCATAGATTCGGAACATGGAGCGAGTTGTGTGATTTGTTGAGGAAACATTTCGAGGAACCAGATTACAAACCAAGACTGTTTAAACAAATAATGGATCGTACCCAAGATCCCTCAGAATCCATAGTTAGTTACCTGTCTGATATGAGTGGACTTTTCAGAAGGTATGGAGGTATTCCGCTCGACGTACAGCTGGGTATCGTTATAAGGAATTTGGCTCTATTTTATGGAACTCAGCTTCCTGTCGTAAGCTCAATAGAAGAATTGGAGGACGAGTGCTTAAAACTGGAAACGAAGAAATATAGAGCCGATCATTATTTACCGCCGTCAAGAAAAAAGAACACATTTGTGGAACCGGATTTCGCCTTTGTATCAACCTCTTCCACAGCTGATAGTGAGCTGGAAACATCTGCCGATGTTGACGTCATCAGTTCTCAACATTTTCGTCCACCATCTGGTCGCGTCTCAACGTTAACCTGCTGGAATTGCCAGGAGACCGGACATATGAACCGAGAATGCACAAAACCAAAAAGGACTCATTGCTACAAATGTGGAGCTCCTAATGTCACGATTAGGTCGTGCCCAAAATGTTCGGGAAACGACACAAGGAAGGGTCAATAGACCGTGAGATCTCTTCCATTCTTGATTTATCGGTCGTTCCTACAGATTTTTACCCAAAACATAATTTTGGATTATATCATTGGTCATGCCCACGGTGATCAAAGACCATATTTGGAAATTTCTATCTTGGGATACAAAATGCGAGGCTGGCTTGATTCCGGCGCAACACGCACAATTGTTGGATTGCCAGGCTTTGAGGTTTTAAAAAGCTTAGGCCTTCAAATGTTTAAACATAATATGAATTGTATGGTGGCAAACGGACAAAGTTGCACCAGTACTGGCTATTTTCAAGTTCCCGTCACCCTGATGCATAGAACCAAAATTATTGACATCCTGGTCCTACCTGCACTATCCCATCGCTTAATCATCGGAATAGATTTTTGGAAATCCATGGAGTTGGTTCCGGACCTAAAACAAGATATATGGCATTTTTCCGACGAATTTGACGCAAAGGTCTGTGGTGTTCAAGATGAAACCACTCTGACACCAGAGCAGCGACTGGCTTTGGATAGCTTAGTTGAGCGATAATTTTCCGAGATGCCTGAAGTGTTTGGTCGTTGCAATGTTGCGGAACACGAAATAGAGCTGTTGCCTGGTACGAAACCTATCAAGCAGAGGTACTACCCAGTATCTCCAATGAAACAGAAGATAATGGATGACGAACTACAAGAAATGTTACGTTTAGGAGTGATTGAACCATTCAAAAGCCCTTGGTCCAGCCCGGTTTGCTTGGCTACTAAGAAGGATGGTTCCTATCGCTTTTGCATAGATTTTAGAAAGCTAAATGCTGTAACAAAAAAAAGACGCGTACCCTTTGCCATACATTTCATCAATCCTGGACCGCCTTAGAAATGCTCGTTACATCAGTTCTGTGGATATAAAGTCAGCCTTTTGGCAGGTGCCTCTAACTGAAAAATCGAAAGAGTACACAGCCTTTACAGTTCCGGGACGCCCATTCTACCAATTCACTCGTATGCCTTTTGGGTTGAATAACGCTCCAGCCACTTGGCAGAGAATTGTGGATAGCGTTCTTGGTTATGATTTGAAGGAGCATGTTATGGTCTACCTCGACGATATAATCATCATATCCAGAAACTTCTCGGATCATCTAAGAATTCTTGCCATTGTATTCGACAGACTAAAAGATGCTGGATCTCTAAAAAGAAATGTCATTTTTGCAAACCACAACTTGAATATCTAAGATATCTGGTCGACGCCAAAGGATTGCGCCCGAACCCTGAAAAGGTTGAGGCGATTGTCAACATACCTCCTCCAACGAATGTTCAAGAAATTAGGAGATTTTTTGGGACAGCGTCTTGGTACAGGCGGTTTATACCCAATTTCTCGTCCGTCATGGCGCCAATAACTTATCTGAGTAAAAAGAACATAAGATGGAACTGGACTGAAGACTGCCAGAGATCTTTTAATCTTATTAAGGAAGCACTTGTTACTGCTCCCGTTTTGACCTGCCCGTATTTTAGTTAATCTTTTACCTTGCAGACAGATGCGTCCAACTATGGACTCGGCGCAGTTCTCACCCAGGAGTTTGAGGATGGCGAGAAAGTCATATGTTATCTGTCAAGATCTTTAACGCGGCAAGAACAAAAGTTGAGCGTCACTGAAAAAGAATGTTTGGCAGTGATATGGAGTGTGGAAAAGCTAAGACATTACCTCGAAGGGCAAAGGTTTACAGTTATCACTGACCATCACTCTCTATTGTATTTGGCAAACTTAAAGGATTCACAGGGACGATTAGCTTGTTGGTGTTTGCGGTTACCGCCCTACGACTTTGAACTTATTCATAGGAAGGGCAAAGAACATGTTGTTCCCGACTTTTATCAAGATCCGTTCCTGTTGTTGACATTGATGTCATTCATGTTGATGAAGTTATCAGCAATCATTCGTCTTTCGGCCAAACCAAGGATAAATGGTACAAAAACATGTTTTTAAAATTAGAAAAATAGCCTGATCAATTTACGAATTGGCGAATAGAAAATGGGTTGTTGTACAAACACATCAAGTCATCTTACCCAGAACTTAGTGTTCCAACTACCTCCTGGAAGATCGTTGTTCCCAAGGACAGACGCCAGGAAATTCTAAATAGATATCATGATATCCCAGCTGCCGGACATATGGGAGTTTCTAAAACGTTCTGGAAGGTTGGTGAACGTTATTTCTGGCCTAAAATGAGAGCCGACATTACTCGTTATGTGAGGAGTTGCCAAATCTGTGCTCAGAATAAGGTGGAACAAAAAGCTCCTTCCGGACTTATGGGTGATCGACCTGCAATTAAGGAACCGTGGCAAAGTATCAGCCTCGATTATATTGGACCTTTACCGAGATCGCGATCGCAAAATCGCAAGTATACCGTTTTATTTCCATGTCGTTCAGCTAAAGCAAAGTCTTTATGTAAATTCGTCGAGGATGGCATTTTCCTAACGTATGGGACGCCGCAATATTTAACCTGTGACAATGGGCCACAGATGAAATCTAAAGAATTTCAAACTCTTTTTGAGTCTTATAAAACCAGAATTTTCTATACTCCTTCCTACTACCCTAGAGGCAATCCCACAGAACGAGTCAATAACTCTGGACACCGGACACATATTAGCAAAGCTACGCTTAGCAACTTCTACCTTACCGAGTTTAATTGTTCGATTCTTATTTTGCTTTTGATAAAAGGATTACGTATTACGTAATCATCATTTTTGGGCGTGGCAACGGACGGTTCTAGAACGGTTCAAAACAATCGCACAGTTTATTATTGAAGTTTGTGATAGCCGAGCCGTTGCCATTTTGTTGATTGATAAACTGTGCGATTGTTTTGAACTATTTTAGAACCGTCCTTTTTTCAAACCCGAATAAAGCCGATCATCATGACAAATTTATACAAAAATCCAGTTCCAAGGTCAAAATTTTGTCATATTATGGCCGTGTTCGTTTTTGCCGTAATTTTCGTCGATTTGCACCGAAACTTTGACAGGCACGTGACTGGATCAGACAGTTTCAATTTACAGATAATGTGCCTGTCAAAATTTCGGAGCAAATCGACGAAGAAGATGACAAAAACGAACACGGCTTATGTGTAAGAAGTCGAGTTTTTGTAATTTTGCTGCCTGATTTTCTGATTTTTTCCGTCTTATTTTTCTTGGGGGTTTTTTCAAAATTTTCGCCCCTTTTGCCTGGGCGATCGCCCAATTGCGCCTTATGGGTAATCCGGCCCTGTTAAATTCCACACTGCCAAAAATTTTATATGTTTGAAAATTTATTTATCAAAGTCCTAATTGTGAATAGATTTTATGATTTTTATTTTGAAACTGAACAGCTAGGAAACTCAAAGAGAGAACGGCCATGCTATATCTTAAAAATTCTACCTTCGATTCGCCTTCGAAAATTTTCCCTTTTCCATCACAACGTCTTTAAATTGGTCAAATATACATCATGCCGATTTCCTCGCATATACTCTGTTTAATAAAGAAAGAGATTGTCTATAAAACACTGCACAAAACCGGATCCGGAAGCTTTTAGGATTTTTGAGATAAGCCGCTTTGTTGCTATTTTCATTCGAGCGCCTTTGTTCTTTCGCACATGTTCACTTGATCTGTGGATCCTTTGCCCAAATGTAGAGTTCTTCATTTTTTTTTAAATATATTATGTAGGTAGGTAATTCTATGTCCTTTCAGCCGTATTTTCCACATCTTTTCTAGAAGTACTCTGTTACATACTTTGCCTAAATCTGAAAACACCTTATACATGCCTGGTTTTCCTAATATCCTCCATAGTAAAGGTGAATTTATTCCTTTTGTAAATTTACATTGTTCTTCATGCGCTTTTCCCACCATAAAATTGCAATCTAATATTTCCCAACAATTTATTAATGCATTCTGCTTTATCTCACTGGTTTATATCAAGAGTTCTACTTTAAGCTTTAACTCAACACGAATTAGAATCTATAACTTCTCCGGTAATGCGCCCTTTCAGGAAATAATAACGCATT